ATATATATATATAAATTTATATATATATATCTATATATATGTATATCTATATATTGAGATATTGATATCAGGGTTGGAAAGAATAAGCTATCAGTTAAGGAGAGGTGTAACAAATAGACGCACGTAATTAATATCGTTGAATACTCGGAAATGTAATATGTGGTTCGAGGGAGAAACGACATAGGAAGATGAAATAATCAGATACAAGTAAATTTGGTAACAGGAAAATTCAATTATTGGATAAGGATTATGTAACTACATATCGGATAAAGAAGACACTACCTTGGAATTCTGTGAAATATAACCATAAAATTCAATGAGATATAACCATAACGTATGGGGAAATTTTACTAACTGGTGCAAAGAGACGTAGCCATCGGATACAGAGAAGTAAAATCATATAAATTAAAAGGAGATGTGCGAATATATGCCAGAAGATGTCGCTCTGTGGATGTCAATAGATAACCCACGCACGAGAACACAACTATTATTTCTACACTGTATAGATTTTAAGTTAGGTTTATCCTATATGTGTGATTAAAGGCGGATTGGGCCTGGGCCAGTGAGGTGATAACCCGGTTATACTGTCCCAGTGCTACTGACTAACATACTGCACATCTATATGTACATCATCCTGATTTTTGTGTATTTGCCCGGGCCGACTTTTAGTCTCCCAATCCGCCCCTGTAGTGTGATACTATTAGTTTTTAAGCCTATTTTTGTTTTGAAATAGAAGAATCACGAAGTAAGGATAGAGTGCTCTGATGTCTTTCGTTTACGCTACTAAAATTAGTACAACTGCCAAATTTTCTTTATGTCTCTCTATACTTATACATTATCTTGTAAAGGTATTTTTTCCTATCCCACCGACAGGTTTATGTAATGTCTGCAAGGAAAGCTTGAGGAACCCATCCTATGACCTCGCTGCATGGAGAATGAGTTGTTACCGGGCTATTTCTAGTCCAATTTATGTTGCCCTGACTTCTGATGACCCCATCCTAGCGACATTCCTGTTGCATGACGAGCTGCAGCTATGTATTAGCATGGATGAACAATACCGAGTAAGGAAAGTAGCATAATATATCAATAGTGAATAATGGGTTCCTGCTAATAGATATCCACTTATCATATGATATCAATAGTGAATAATGGGTTCCTGCTAATAAATATCCACTTATAATATGATGTATGTAGTGAATAATTGGTTCCTGCTAATAAATATCCACTTATAATATGATATCTGTAGTGAAGAATGGGTTCCTGCTAATAAATATCCACTTATCATATGATATCAATAGTGAATAATGGGTTCCTGCTAATAAATATCCACTTATAATATGATGTCTGTAGTGAAGAATGGGTTCCTGCTAATAAATATCCACTTATAATATGATGTCTGTAGTGAATAATTGGTTCCTGCTAATAAATATCCACTTATAA